TCAAATATTGTTTAACAAAAGCTCCAGCGACGGCATTGTGTATGACAGTTCAATTTACACAGCACTTTGCTGTCCCATAGTGACCACTGACTCGTACAGCGGTCAACAAAACTTCGAATTTATGATTTATCTCATTTCGCAGCTGTATCGTTTTTTTTTCAGACCATAAGTCCAACAAAATGAGATTTGAAATATTAAGTTTTTTTTGCTATATTCATTAAAACAAAATCTTAGGATTTTGAATTCGCCTCGTTTCCTTCATCAACAACATTTAAACTGAGAGCTGTTCAGGTCGATGACATTGCAATTCCTGATAGATTTTTACTTTCTGAAATTATGAAGCTAAGTTGTTACAGCAGTTTTGCTGGTTAAACATTACTTCGCCATAGTGCATTTTTTGTTTCTTGCAAAAATACCCGGAAGAAATTTCTGGAATTTCGCGGAAACTGCCGAAAACATCAAAAAGAAAAAATTTGTACTTTCTTGAATGAATTAAAGAGCGGTCGTCTCGAGAACACTGTCGCTGGCATTCTTGCTCCCTTTGCTTTTTTCGGTTATTATAGGCATTGTCGTTAAACCATCACCACCACTATCTTCTTTGTTGTAGCACTTGCTAGAATTACTGTGCATAAAGTCGTTTAATTATGACAAAAACGAACACTAGATATCAATGGTGTTACTTTTTTCAGAATGCCACATTTTAGCTCCTTCTGATTCTTCGTAATTTGAAAATTTTCATGCGTTCTCTTGATCGCAGAAGCGCTGCGCAGACTAACCGCCTCTGAAATTGTGAAAGCTAAAAAGCAAATATCTTGAAGTATCCGCCGTTTAACAAATTTGAAATAAACCCACCCATATTTCCTTTTTGTCCTGACCTATTTGTCAGATCAGGTCAAAATCCGGACCGATTTTCCCATTCCTGCGGCGAAGGGCTTTTGCCTTATTTATTTTTTCAACTTTCTCTGCACTTGAGGACCGCGAAATACCCAGAACTACCTAGAGATCCATAAATGATTTGAAAAGAAGGATGGGTTTTTATGAAACATTCAAGTGTTTTTAATATTTTCAGCTTTCAAAAATATGACTAAATTATGAAGTGCTAATGAAATTTGAGATAGTCCATCATATTCCAATTATTTCAAAAACATCCGATCTTGTTCTATCCGAGTTTACTGGATAAACCTGGTCCAGGCAGCAGATCCTGTGTAATCATACAACTAAATCGCAAAATCCAACACATTTAATGCACCAGTATTACAAAATCTCCTACAGATTATCATCCTCTTATTACATAAACAGTATTTTGAATATGCTACACAAATGATTTCATGCAAATGTGGCTCTAGTACTAGCACAGTGTCTTAAAATTACTCGTCTGCTCAATTTCTACAGGGTCTAACTCATCCTACAGGGCGATTTTTGAATTGCTTTCAAACATTGCAGCATCGTTTTTGATTTGTGACTTCGAGATCTTTCGGTTCGTTTTGCTTGCGAGTTTGAAACAATTCTCCAAAAGCTGCTTGAGCGGGTTTCCAAACGTCCAATTTTTCATGGCTGGTGTGAAACTGCAGCTAATATTTGCGTATTTTTCAGGAAAAAAAACACGGAAAATTTTTGTATTCAATTGCCTACTGTCTTTTGATTCGCTTCAAGAAATCGTGAAATATCCGGATAAAGGCTACTCTTCCGAAACCAACGAAAATATAGCTGCTGTGATGGCGCAAATTGCGAGGAAAGTGAAAAAACTTGCTTCAACGCAGCTTTTCAACCTGAAAGTTCTCCTGAACGGTATTTTACCATTACCTATCAATTTTCCTGAAGAAAAATGGAACCGGCTTGATGCGCTAATTCAATTACCTGATTATCTAGAAAAGTTTCGAAAAGTGTTTTTGTTTAACTTATTAGACTGATTCTTTGTACCTTGGTCAACTGTACTTTGGTTAATGCCCGCTTACTTTTGCGCATTAACACAGTTGACCAGCTTTCGATCGCTGCTATTACTAAAGATGTTTTTTGAGCAACCTCCCGCTGCCGCTGTTTCTGTTTCCTCGAAAAAGCTCCCTCAGCTGCTTTTATGTTTGTTCACCTCATCTACTGTTATGCTTTTCCGTGATGGCTGTGGCTTCTAAGGGATTATTTTTTTTAAAGCAGTTTTCAAGGAGGCTGAATCTCAGTCAGTGCGATACCCAGAGCTAAAAAACCGCTCATAGCTATTATTAACGAGTAATATGGCAAGTATAGCGACGTAAACTAAAAAATAAAGCTTAATCCTTAATAAAGGATCAGCTGTAACCACTTAATTCTTAAATAAAGGCTTAGGTAATCAGCTTTGATCATTTGAGCTCATTACCTAAGCCTTTATTTAAGGATTAAGTGGTCAAAGCTGATCCTTTATTAAGGAATAGCTGATCCTTTAATCCCTAGTAAAGAATTAAATGGTCAAAGCTGATTACCTAAGCCCATCTAAACTTGTTTGTTGGGATGTTTTCAACCTACACGAAGCGAGAGGATTAACAAAAAATAGCGCGAGGCAAGCGTTTGGCTTTCTCAAAGTAAACTAATATTGTTTGACCGTAAACATACTTAATCGATTTGTTAATATTCCAAGTGATTAAACTTAAATTTAATATAAGGAAAGTGTTTCGGTTTCAAGCTGCACAGTTTCTCGGATTTTATTATCAGCGGAGCTTATCTGAATTTGCACATATCTAAAAAAAGACTTAAAATTGCAGTTTTTTGAAACCCTTTTGCAAATACTACAGGCCGTGGATTATCGAAATTCAAAAAGCGTTATAAACTGCATGGAGAACTTGGCCGTGGCGGATTTGGAATCGTTTATCGTGGCTTTCGCATTTGCGATGAACTTCCGGTCGCTGTTAAATTTATTGACCGGAACCAAGTCCGTGACTGGGGAAAGGTAGGCTTCTGTTTGTACTGTTCTTGAGAATCGAACTTTGTTCATGAATACGACGATTTTCTACGCTATCATGGAAATTTTGTTGGTTTTCTTGCGTAATTACTGTCCGTTAAGATGGATGACGAGCGAGTGCCAATGGAGATTTGTATGTTAGCGCGATGTGTGAATGTTCTGGGAGTGATCAAGCTACTGGACTGGTACAGCACGCCGGAAGGATTTCTGATCGTGATGGAACGCCCTTATCCATGCGTTGATTTATTCGATTTTATCAAAAGCCACAAGAAGCTTGACGAAGATGTAAGGAAATAGAATTAAAGAGCACCAAATTAACTTCTCAAATTTAATTTCTGTGTAAG